TGGAAAAGAGCACCTCCGCCTGCAGGGGGAGAGGAGAGGGAGGGGGGAGGGGGAGAGGGGGGGGCGCTCTAGAACTGAAGCCAGGTGGCGTGGATGGCTCAGTGCTAACCACAGGGTTGGTTGGAGATGAAGAGCCTACAGACTTCACAGCGAGACGCCTCCGTGCTCCTCTCTCCTCTCTCGTCTTCGTCTCACAATCGGTTCCTCTCTTCGGCAGCCAGTGTGGCGCTGCAAATGGCTTCCATTTTTACCGCAACTTTGTTCAGGAGCAGTGAGCTGAACAGAAGAGGTAGAGTAATTATAGGAACCAGAATGAGAACGCTGATTGCAAAAGGGTGTTGCGGGGAAGAATGTCGGCGTAATAAGAAAACAGCAGGAGAACCAGGGGAACAGGATGAACTTTCCTGCCTCAGAACAGGGCACACACAGATCTGCTCTGCCTCCTCTTTGATAGTGTGTCATTTCATCTCCCCACACTGCATTTCTCTGGCTGGTTTCCAGCCTGCGACATAAAAAAATCCAAAGAACGAACGTCACTCCTCGTCCGTTTCCTGTCTGCGGGGACGTCAACCGCCGTGTTGTGGTAACAAATCAAAAAGAATCTACACCCGTGTTGTGTCGACTTCAGCTCGCCTCCAACCGGAGAGACGCCACGGCGCTGCTCTTAGCCAGCCATCGATCTGAGGCTTCGGGACTTGGACGGAGAGCTGTATACCTTTTTAAGTGTCACTTTCAGGGGGGGGGGTGGGAGGGTATCAAAGGACAACCAGCAGGGGTAATCAAATCACTCACTTACAGGAGCTCATCATCATGAATGGACTGCACCACCCCAGTATTGTAGTAGTATTGTAGTAGTATTGTAGTAGTATTTACAATGGAAAAAACAACAGAAACCACCGCTAACGTTAGCGACAACAGTTATAGAAACTGGAGCCGTCGTTATGTTGCCAAAATCGTGGTCAAAGTTGAATATACTACAGTATCTGTCATTGTACTGTAGGTTTATAGTAATATATACTTCATACTGTTATTTCACTTTATATACAACTGCACATGAAAATGAAAAATAAAGATTTTTGTTCATGAAGTTCACTGTCTGTTCATTCATTCAGTTGTGAGGAGAAAAATAAACTGAAATTTGAATCTAATGAATGATTCATTCATGTCTCTTTAACTCAGTCACTCAGCTGTAAACTCTGTTACAGCGATTCTTCCTTATTATCATACAGTGAAGCCTGGTGCTGTAGATTACCACGTTTTCAGGTGTGCAATAAAAAGAAAAATACTGACTTACTTTAACGTGTACTCCTGTGTTTGCAGTCCGTCATGGTGGCCTGAGTCACAGCACTAGAAATAAATCAGACAAGAAGAAAAGAAGAGTCAGAGTTCGAGTTCGACCAACAACTCAGGCTTGAACTAACCTCTGGCTGCGTCAGAGACTCAAAAGTCATTTCACCCTGTTACTGCAGCTAAAACAGTCTGTGCAGCTGAAACAGTCATTTCACCCTGTTACTGCAGCTAAAACATTTCATTTCCACCTGTGCTGCTGCTGTTTTGGTTTTTCCTCTGAGCAACAGATGGGAATTCAAATGACGTGACGTCTCTGACAGTGGAGTGAACGTTCCCACCGCAGGTTAACAGGGTGACTTAACACTAACCCCACGTCGCCCAAACAGACAAATTGACTCTTGTAGTAAAACTTTTGCATTAAATGTACAAACAGAGAGGCTCAGACGACGGCGCCACGGCAGGATTGATGAAACACCTGTCGTCTCTGTCAAGTTTCGTGACATTTTTAGCCTCCAGAGAAATCAACAGAGACACAGAAAAAAAAAGCACATTTACATCTTCAGCGCCGAGTCTGTCCTATTTCAAGTTTCACAGAGCTGCAGGAAAACCAAAATAATGCAGCGGAAGATTCCCAGGTTATTGTTAACAGCTACCTGGGGCTCACACACAACATCAGAGGCTGAAGAAGAAGGAAATAATGAGACGCTGTGGTTTAGGCTGGGACAGCAGCCGTGCTGGTTGGCTCGTACACTCCTCATGTTCACATCATCACAGTGAAGTGACTCATTGTCTCTTTTTTTTAGCTGAAGTGACTCAGATCTTTCACACATAATTCAAGAAAAACCAAAATGTAGCAACAAAAAAAGCTTTGACAAGAAGCGTCTCCAGACGGAGGGAGGAGCTGGTGAAGAGAGAGAGAGAGAGAGGGAAACGTTCAGAAACAAATGTGAAGAGGGAAGAGCCGCTCCTCACACACTCAGTTCTGTTAAAAAGCACCGGTGGAAAACTTTGGTTTTGTAAATCACTGGCTGAGGCCAGAGAAGGTCAGCCAAGGAAGGAACGGACACAGAGTAAAGATGGACAAACGTTCGTAGATACAGTTTAAATATATATATATACTGTATATACGCCTGATACATTTTCAGGTAAACATTATGAGCAAAGAAAAGCAATGAGACATTAGCCAACATGATAAATGTTAGCCCTGTTAGAAAAATAAGCTAAAGTGTAGCAGGAGTAGAGTGTGGCGCCATCTTCAGGACAGTAACTGATGAACTGTCGACAGCTAACTCCACAGAAATCAAAGATTTCATCACGAAAAGCTTAAAGAATAGAATACGAAAAGAAAAAGAAAAAATCCACGACGTATTTATATCACCTAATAAAACTGACCTGGAAATGATTCCAATGCCCTGAGAGCGTATTTAACGGCGGCAGAAGTGCTAAAATTTTAATTACAAATACAAAGTACACATGGTCACAAAATTTAATTTGTACTTTATGTCATTTCGCTGAACTTAAGGATAAAACTTTTTTCTATGTTTTAATTTGAACCAAATCTTGGCTTTTCTCTGAACTCGTCCTTTCCCTGATTAAATGCCTGGAGCGATCTTCAGGCTACAAAGAGATTCTATCCAATAGATAACAGGACAAAAAAAAAACAAAGCTAAATAAACGCATTTCTCTGAACTCAGTGCCTGAATCAGTGCCAGCGGTGAACTCTAAATGCACAAAAACAACACGTTTACCAGTCCTTTCTCACACTGATCCCGTGGGACGCAGGTGTGCAGGTGTTGGTGGGCGGGGCTTCGTCGACACTAAAGTCACGTCAGCGTAAGCTGTACCTGAGTGAACGGAGGAGCTTCTCCTTCCTTCTGCACGAAGACAACAACGCTGGTGTTTGTACGTGGGCGTCCTCAGAGAAGCCATGCTTACATTACTGCTATTTCACTGTGCATCTGTTGAACTATTAACCCGTGAGCTGAAAACTTGAATTATTCAAAAAGCCGACGCGCAGGCCGCCTATAGAGCGCTTCATTGATCTGTTCTTTCATGTGCCGTACAGCGTGGACCTACGACCAAGTCCTTTTTCCCTCCTCCTGGATACAGGCTTCAGCACAACACTGATTTCTTTTTTTTTTTTTTTTTAATTCCTATTAAATTTATGCATTCTGTAAAGAAAAGACGACGGAAAGAAAGAAAGAAAGAACGGAGCAGGAGGACAAAGAGGAGCACTCTTCTCCTTGAAAGGGTCAAATTTTGGCAAGCGCTTAAGACGGAAAACTTTGCATTCGTCTCCATACAAGAGTCGAGAGGGTGTGTAATAGGAAATGTTCACACGTCGTGGATTTGGCAGCGAGCGCTGCGCGAGGAGAATAAAGTTTTTTTGTTTTTTCTTTTTTAAATCAGAGTGAGAGAGTCAAGGTTGCTTGGTTGGCTTAGCTAATGGAAGAGGGTATTAAAGGAGGGCAGCGCGTCAAGGTAGCACTTTTATAGAGCTGTGGGTTGGGTTTTTTGTTGTTGTTATGTTTGGCTTACCACAAGAGAGATACAAGTGAAGGGTGAGCAGACAATAGTGTGAGGGTGAGAGTCGGAAAGTTCTTAAAAAAGATCTTTACATTTAAAAATATATATAAAGGAATATAAATAAATGTCCTCTAGTAAATCAGTGGACCAGCATCTAATGTGTTAGCAATGAATTAGCAGTTGCTAAAGTGCTGTGTCAGTACAAGTCAAACTGTTAGACGGGTTATAATAAAAACATGTACAGACAGTACAACTGTAAAATTACTGTGAACACTTAAGATACTTTTCGTATATTTTTCTATTATTCTGTCCTGATTTAGTATTCGATTACTGTGAACACTTAAGATACTTTTCTATATTATTCTGTCCTGATTTAGTATTCATTTATTTGTCTGTATGTTACAATTTATTTTTAATTATTATAGAAATTTCTGACTTTCTGGAACACGAAGTCAAAGGATTAAAGAAAAAAAAACTGAGCTAAGAGCAACCAGGACTCCACCGCAGGAACACACACTCTCCAGTGGAACTCTGGAGTTGTAGTCAGGAGACAGGAATCCAAAGACCTGACAAGACGAGTCAAAGGGAACCAACGCCTGAAGGCAGCAGCAGAGGAGAAGAGAGGAAGTGAAGAAGGAGCAAAAGGATGAAGGATGAAGGGCTGAGGAGTGGAGAGGGTGTCACTGGGCCAGGAGAGGAGAGGAGAGGAGAGGAGAGTGTGTATGAGATGCCGAAGAAAAGTAGTGGAGGTGTGTGGGCGAGGAGAAGCAGGAGAGAGAGGAGTGAGCGGGGAGGTGGAGGTAGGAGGAATGAACAAGTGTGGGAGGAGTGGGAACGACAAGAACACCGAGTGTTAAAAAAAAAAAAAACATGGAGATGAAAGAGGCGACAGCAGAGCCACATTTGGAGGAACGGTGTCTGTCCGAGCGCTCCTGGGAGGAAGAGGAGGAGGAGGAGGAGGAGGAGGTGTATGTTCTGAAAGGGGGGGAGAGACAAGGAGAGGAAGCGTCAGAGAGGAGCCAGTGAATCGGGAGTGACAGAGTGGGAGAGTGGACGCATTTAGCTCTCAGCCTCGCATGTTCCAAAATGGTCTGAGCGAGGCTAAAACATGCAAAGTGTAGACCAGAGAGAGTGGGTGAGGCAAAAAGAGGGACAGAGTGGGTGAGGGCGAGATGGTGGCGCTGATTCCTCGATGCTATCTGGGCGAGGGGGAGATGTGCGTGTGACACAATCTTAAATTGGAAATCGCTGTTTCAATCTCCCCTCACTCTGTGGCTGCGCGCTCCACTGATAACAAGAGCCGGCTAATTCTATTAAAAACATCCCAGTGAGAGCAGAGACCAGGACAGTGTGAGAGGGCGCAGGGGTAAGAGACAGGAAAAGACAAGGGGCCAGAGAGAGGGAGACGGGAAAATGGAAGAAAGGGAGACGGGAAAACCAAGCCCAGAGATAACAGCCCGGCCTGGAGCCACTTCTCACTCACAGAAGTTTTTTTTGCCCCGTCTTCAGCGGTATCACAGTAACCTCATCTGTCCATCATCTCCACCAACCTCCCCTCCTCAGAGATCAGCCTCCCCCATCGATCTCACCCCCCCATCTGTCCATTTATCACTGCGTCCATCTGCCAGGCCTTATCGCCCCCCACAGGTGAGTCCTCCATCCTCCCTGAACCACGTGCCACGATCACCAACCTTAAACCGTCCCACAAGGCAGTCAAACCAACCACCATATTCAAATAGTGGCCCGTGGGCCACATGCGGCCCAGACACAACCTCACAGTGGCCCGGTCTAGAAAAAAAATCACAATTTTCCACATCACTTGTCTATTTTTCTGCAGGGACAGAAACATTGATGATCTGAGTTAATGTACAAAAACACCTAATGTCTTTAACACTTTCATATATTTTGGTCCAAAGAACTTAGTTAGCCAATGTTAATTAGACTCCAAAAATCCCTTTGGTTTGGTGGTTTGACACTTCAGCCTTTCTCTGGTTCTGACACTGGGTCCGTTCTACTCTCTACTCTCTGCTCGCTGCCCTTTCATCTCTCCCTTCAAACACCCCGGCCAACAGAGGACGTAGGAAAGTGCTCTCGTTCCCAGAACTGTCTGGAGAATTAATTAAGTGGACAGCTAATCACCTGCGAGCAGGTAAATCGATCTGAAGTGAAGGAGACGACTGCGAGGGAACGGCTGGGGCTTGGACTCGTCCTCAGCCGAGATCGTCAGACAGACAAAGGAACCGATCTGAACCTGGACCAGAACCTGTCAGAGGACGGGGTTACTTTGGTTTGGTCACTTCAAAAACTAGATTTACTACAAGAGCAGAACTGAGTGAAGAATCTGGTCTGAGAAAATTAGGAAAAGGAGAGGTAATAAATATGATATACATATAAATATATATATATATACATACATTTCTACATAGATAGTCATTGTGAACAGTTCTGTCTGCTGATAACATTTCAGTTTGATTCATCACTTCTGTCTGACTTCACTCTCACTTTTTTACTCCTGACTTCACTTTCTGGTTATATTTCACAATGTAACGTCATTAATCCCAGCAGGAGACGTCAGGCACAGACCCAGATTTAGCCACAGGCTCATTTCCATCCCTGGGCTGAAACATGACTGACAGGTGGCTACGAGACCAACGTCTACATAAAAAGTCAAAGTCAGATTCAAATAAAAAGCAAACGGCGACGACTAATGGCGAGGAGTAGTAAAACTTCAGACAGTCATGATCTTTTATCACACACACACACACACAGAGTGGAGGTTCATTCAACTGTAAAAGAATCTCCCATTTCACCCTACAGCCCGTCCTGATGATCGCCTGTCACAACGATCAACTCCGTCTGAGGGTTTAGATTTAAGGAGGAGGTGAGCGGAGGTCGGGAGGAGGTTACTGTAGAACACAGAGACGGGGAGTCAGGCCAGCAGCAGGAAGACGCTGACCTGAAGAGGACAGGGGAGGACAGACAGGGAGGGAATTAGGAGAACAGTTGGGAGACAGCGGCAGCGGAGAGATAAGATTCATCGGATTAAAGAAGAGAGAGCCAGGGAGTGGGAGATGAGGAGGTTAAGATAGGGAGGAAGGCAGTTGTGTAATCTGAGGGTTTTAAAACGAGTCGGCCGCGGCTGCGGTCAGAGGAGCTCTGGACTGAGATTATAACGGGATGTGGGATTGTGGGAGAGAGAGGCAGCGATACGGAGACGCTAATAACGGCGGAGATGAAGGCGTCTGTGAGCAGAAGGATGAAGCTGTTTGGAAAATGGGAACGTCAACATCTATATTTAACACTGGGTGTCAGGACGAGACGCAGGAATATTCAAATAACTCACAGCCCTAGGTGGCGCTCTCTCCGCTGCCCAGCTTCAACACAGAGCCACAAACGAGACAGAATAATAATTTGAATTTGAATTGCTGCTCCCATAAAGAGAACGACTTCAAGAAGAAAGCTGCCAGTTAACGGTGAGGCTCTGAGGTCTGACCAGTGAGGATTCATGACACCAGAGCTTCCACCACCAATCAGTGCACTAATAACCACAGATGTGGAGCCACAGAAATGAGGTCAGTGAGGAAGTAATAGGCAGGACAGAGTTGGACTGCATTTCAAATCCAAAAATCACAAAAACCTCCAAAGGGAAGTAATAGGCAGGACAGAGTTGGACAAAAACCTCCAAAAAAATGCTGCCTGATGAGCAGGAAGTCAACTGGTTTTTTCACACTTTCCATATTTTTCCTCATTTCGGTCCAAAAAGGAGAGAACAAAGTCAAATCATCTCCGCTCAGCTGGACAGGAGTTCGTTTCACCCAGATTACAACAACAACAAACAACAGCGTTTTAGGATTAGCTTCAATCCAAATCAGGTCATACTCCAAATAATCCAGAAATCAGATTAGGGAATCACGGGGGTGTTTCAATCTCAGTGGAATTACGTGTTGGTTCTGGGAGGGAGGGTTGGAACGTAATCCAAAAAATCCACCGTCGTCCATGTGAATTTCCAAACTAACGGAGAACTGAAGTCAGGGTCAGGGGTCAGGGGTCAGGGGTCTCTGCTCGTCTGCTTCCACCTGTGACTGTCTCCGACTTCATCACAGTTTTGTTGTCGGAGAATTTCTCACTTTCTCATTTAAAATAAAGGTCTTAAAACCATTCAAACTTTAACGCTCACCTTTATGCATCGACAGTCTTTATAATAAATGAATGTTTAGACTCACACACTCAAACATCACATGACCCCACAGCAGAGCTGGTGGTCTCCAAAACCTGGCAGTAATCCCTGACATCTGCTGCTCACTGGCAACCCACTGTTGGTCCAGTGTGAGGAATCTTAGAGGAATATTTACCGTCTTGCTTCAGTATTTTTAACAGATTCTTCATGCTGGGCTGAAGCCTTGAATCTTTTTTCTTTTTTTTTCCAGTTCTGTTTTTTCAATTATTTACAACCAAATTGTCTGTTTCAGATAATCGTGCTCTTTGTAAAAGACATTCTTACAAAGAGCACGTTCTTCAATTATTTTTATGCAGGAAAACAAACAATTCAGACCCACAGGCCGTCATCACAGTGATGGCCATTTGCTGCAGGAGTTCCATTGGCCAGAAAGAGGCCGTGCTATTTGAAGAAGCCATCAGAGCCGTGAGGATTCAGCAAGGACAGCACCGTGCTATTTGAAGAAGCCATCAGAGCATCTGAGGGCCGTGAGGATTCAGCAAGGACAGCTGATTCTCCCCTAAATGAACGCTTTTATGACCATTAAGCCTTAATCTCTGATATTATTCAATCAACAATATGAGCCAAGGAGGAGTTGATGACGGTGAAATTCACAGCAGCCAAACGACAACGCCACCAGCGCATCAATAAAGAAAAGGAGGATTTAAACATGGAGGGGATTTTAAACCCTGTAAATTAAAAAATACATTTTTTTTAAAGATGACAAAGTTTCAACAGATTAATTACCTAAGACAAAAACAAGTTGATTTACAGCAGCGTTAATTACTCCCTGCAGCTGCGTGTGGATATCTTTGTACTGTTGTAGTCGTAAAATGATGACACAAAGCTGGTCCTCATCACACGGTACTAGACTCACAGGAGTTCAGGGTTTTTTCTTTTTTTATCTCATCTCACCCAGCAGTAGCTGTCACTTCAACAAGTTCAAATTCCATTCAAACCTTGGGGTAAAAGTTCAAACCTAACGCTGAGACAGAGTCTGAACACATCTCACACTGTCGATCCAGCAGAGGGCGCCCTAAGGTCAAGCAGAGGGCATTCAAAGATCATCCTTTTCTTAACCCTCCTCTCAGTTATGCAATAAAGAACGAATAATTGCAGGAGTTTCGATCCCATAGAGTTCAGTGTTCAGAGTCCGACCAACAAACCTTCATAAGAACCTAAATCAGCCGGGGCCAATCCCAGCAGTCATCAGAAGAGGGCGCAGTACACTCTGGACAATTCCCCCCATCACCACAGGGTAACATACGGAACAGAAACATTAGAAAAACTCCTGAACCAAATCTCCACAAACCCAACTTTGAGTTTTCCTCTCTCCTCCTTCACTTCACGACCGCAGCTGCTCAGTAAAACCTCCACGATATCAAGGCGCTGGGGAAACATCTGAAGAGCACGCATGCAAAAGAGACAGATAACTGCTTATTATTTGGCCCGCTGCTCCAGCAGATAACCATCTGAATATGTGGAAAAATGTCAAATAAATAAAACAGTTAGGAAAATAATTTTGTGTTTCTGTGATGGGGGTGAGTGTAGGGGGGAGGGGAGGGAGGAGGGGGTGGACGCAGCAGATCTACGAATGATTTACATGTCACAAAGAATCTGTTTAGGTCTGACATTTGGAGGATGTGACAGTTTTGAAGCCGTGGACACAGGCTGGATGTTGAGTTCACTCTCTGCCTCCGTCATCTGAACTAAAACAAGGCCAAGTCAATGTTAGGAGTGAAACCAGCACTTCCTCTCACTGATCGATCGATCGATGACCGACGGCCAGAGCAGGGAAAAAAAAAAAACTTAAGAATGATTGGCATTCGTCATGGATTTAATTTATCTGCTTATCTCCATATCTGCCCTGCTGTCACTTTGTTGAAAAAGGAGAAAGAAAAAAAAAAGGTCGATGCAGCCGATCAATGGTTTTAAAAGACTGATCCTAAGTCTGCTTTTTCTTAACAGCCTGTCATTCAACGCCGGCCGCCCAGACGTGTCTTACTCCAACAACACAAAGCTATTTCCTATCTGCTTTCCACTGAGTGTGGAACGTAAAGCTCTGCCTGTCTCTCTGTTCTGAAAGACTCTGACAAGTGGTGACGGCGTGGGTCGCAGCTAAAGAGAGCGGAGGAAAAGGTGGTGGAGAGGAGGGGGGGCCGTGGGGCCACAAAAAAAAACAACAACCCACGGACCCCTGGTGGAGGCCGCTCTCAGGAAATCATCAAACAGCAGTTGGTTGAGGATCGCTCTTGTTTCTGGGGCATGAAAGGAGAACGTGAGGGTGCGACGGCAGCGGCTTCAGCTGATGAATGAGACTTTTGGCTCTGGTTATAGATAGTCTCATTTTGTTCGACAAGGGCCGCCTTTTCTTCCCCTGGCACGGCGCTGAATGGAGGCTTGGCATTTGAAAGAAAGCCCAGAGATTTGCTGGCGGATTAATCCTTTCATTAAGGAAAGTGAGAAGTTAATTGCGGCAACAGCTGCATCTCTCATGTTTACAGGCCTGACGCCTTAAACACCGTCTCCATTTAACGGAAAAAAGCAATTATCAATAAATGCGGGGCAATCACGCAATGATGAACCCAGCTCAAATTAGGCTTCTTTTTCTCGCCGCGTATTTTCGCACGCCGGGGCCACGAGCAGCCGTGTTGGCTGGCAGCGTGTGGCCTTTTTCAGAGCTGAATTGTCATACAACAAAGATGAAACACTTGACTCTCGGAGATGAAGAGTTCCCAGGGAGAGCGATCAAAGATGATCCGGAGTCGTGATTTCTGGCTGATGAGGA